TAAGTTTTAAATAAAAAATGTTTTTAAATAAATGTTTTATAATTTTCTTTTTTTTTTAAAAAAAAAATATATCTTAATGTTAACATTTGTTAAGAGAAAATTTAATTGGCCAGCACATAACTTGCAAAATTTTTTAAGTTGGTAATGCTAGGGGGGTTGCTCCAATTACTTCCCGATAAGTCAAATTTACGTAGAATTAGTAGTCTAAACCTGTGGTCCCGAAGTAGAGCCTCGTGGCGTATCTATTTGACCCTAATAACTCGGACCAAATCTCATTCATAGTCTGCTATATTAAGGTTTAGATAGAGTTTAGTAGTTTAGAGATTAGTTTAGTGTTGATTTATATCTATACACATATTCCCTGATTCTGGAACAGTTTCTACTTTCACAATGCGCAGAAATATAATTTCAAATTGTGACCTAAATTAAGCTTGGATATTACATAGAAATCTATGCTTAAGAGGTATTATAACCTTGATTTCAAATAAAATTATAATCCCTATTTGTATGATAATTATATATCTTAGGCCATGTAAACAAAATTTTTTGTTTCTCATAACATGGCCAGGTTATCAAATCTGAATTGAGAAATTTAAATTTTATAATATACTGTACTTTATGCCTCTACCAAATTTTGTATATTAATAAGATATCTATGCAATGTAGTTGTGCAAAAACTAGTGATAGCTACACTTATAGATTATTTCTAGAATTCTAAAAGTTTAAGGGCAAAGCTTATTTTTTACACTGATCTGAGCATTCACTAGTGCAATGAGTGGTGTATTCATGCTATCCATCTTATTTTAATCATATTAATGAATTATTGTAAAAATTTTATTACAGAACTTGCCTGCTATTAGCATATAGTTGTCAATTACAGTATGTGGCTAAATTAGTTTGCATTGTGATTTCTATCATGATTTCTATCATAAATAAATTCTGTTACAGAACTTGTTATTACAAGTGACACTCGTTAATATCAACCTATTTGAATTGGTTTTAATTATGTTGATAGTGAGAAATCGTATTAAAATTGATATATATGAGGGAATTTTGATACATAAAAATTCTAAAATTTGATTTTGTGGCTTAAGTTGATATTAACAAGGATGACCTGTACAATTACAATAAATAGTTAAAACTGAGTAAGTTTATATTGAGATTATTTCTATCATTAGCTACTGTGAAAATTCTGTTACAGAACTTACTCATTATTCTGTAACTACAAAACTACGAAATGCAGTTATTTGCTAATCTAATAACATTTAATATGTAGTTAATGTTGAGTTCATTTGTATTAAAATATTACAATTTCTATTGTGAGTTATTGTAAATATTTTGTTACAAAACTTTACTTGCTATTTCAGTAACTTAGTATGTTTAGTTAATATCAGGTTAGTTTATATTGAAATTATTATAATTTTATTGTTTGTTACTGTAAAATATTCTGTTATAGAGCTTACTAATATGATGCACAGTGATTAAAATGGAGTTAGTTGTATTGCTGAGTTTCTGTAAAAATTTCACTATGTAACTTGCTATTTCAATAACTCAGAATATGATTAAGGTCGAATTGGGTTTATTGTGACCTCTACCATGAGTTGTTATAAAAAATTTTATTACAAAATTTACTCACTATTTTAACGACAATAGTATGTGTCAAGGTTATGTTAGTTTGTATCATGATTTTTTTTATGAAATACAGAAAAATTTTGTTATACAACTTATTGTAGTAGCTACATTAGTTTGCACTGTTATTTCTATTATGATTTCTATTATGAGTAGGATCGAGTTAGTTTGTATTAAAATTTTTATTATTTCTATCATGAAAATTCTATTATCCGACAAACTCATATGATCATGAAAAACTTTCTTTCTGTTATTTTTTTTTCATATATTACAATGTAATTATGTTTTTCCAATATTCAAAAAAAAAAACACAGCAAGTGACTCTATCAATCATAATCATAAATTGTTGAATAACACCGCAAATTGTCAAATACGGTAATTTAACAAATGATTGGCTACACATGCTGCAAAGTGGCACGTGCTCATTTGCCAAATTACTGTTATTTGACAATTTTTGCTCAATATTGTATACATAATCACAGGCTGAATTCTAATAATTATCACAAGTACAGTTTTCAGCATGAACTTTTTATGTATTCTGTGATTAGTCATAAAAGAAAGAAATAAAAATAATTAATCTAAATTTAATCTACAACTTAGAAAATTAAAGGATTTTTATAACGTCGATTGTCAAGTTATAGACATAGATGACAAACCAGCGATTGAAGTAATTACTGAATTTGCTAGAAATCAAGAGATTTGAGTGCTAGATTTAATTCAGCGCTTGCATCACTTGCTTTTGGAAATGGTGATTTTTATATTGCAGAACAATTATTCACATCTAGAAATCAATTGCCAAAAAATCCAAGTATTTCTTATACTTTTAATTGTAATAGTAAAGTTTCTAAAATGTCAAGTTTCTATTAAATATGTTCCATATAAATCTCAATATATAAATGGAACTTAAGTAGGAAATGCAACATTGATCTTTGATGCGAACATTGCCAGATTTTATATATTACAATATTTCGGCATGGTCTTAATATGTCTAATATAGCCGTTGGATTTAAGTTACTTGCAGACAAAGGTATAGAAAAGGTATACTAAATTATAAATATATTTACTACAACATAAATATATTAATATATTATTAATGCTAAAAATATTTATTTATACTATATAGATTGTTTTAGATTTAAGCAATAATTCTGATAGACAAATTATTGTTGCACACTACATAAATAAACTCTTATTTCCAGATATACAAAATTTTTCACTGAGTTTTAAGGTTAATAATATTTCTATTCTATTTATAAAAAAAACTTCAAAGCTTAAAAAGAAATTAGAAAGATATTTAATTATAATACATTTATTTCAGCAAAGACAAACACTTCATTTGATAGTGTTATGGACTTTATTGGAAATAATACATATATTTGTGGAGATGTTTAGGTTAACTACACTTCAAAAGTATTTTTTAATAACACTGCACTTTATAATAGAGTTTTAGAACTTCCAATACCTCCAAAACTTTCTTGGACTGAAAAAGATATTATAATTTTGACAAATGGATTATGTTAATCATCATGTACCATCTTGACTCAAAGATTAACTGAAATTAATGTTTCCACCATAGCTATTGGTGGATTTCTGAATATTTGATTTTCTTTTGCTCAATATGCTGGCAATGGATAATTCTAACATTAACGATATACTTAGCCAACTAAAAAATCTTGATAGTTTCTTAGTTTCTAAATTATCACTTTCTTCAAATTTAACGTTGCATTTTACTATAGCTGAATTCTATAGCATTAAAAATCTAAATAAGGTTATGGATTATGCTTTTAGACCTGCAGACTATGTACATACATATTAGTGTTGTTAGTCGAAATTGTTTTAAGCTATGTAGAAATATTTCGACTTTCGACATTTAGCATGTCAAAATTCTAA